ATGGTGTACCCGATGATGCGATCCGTCTTCACCTCTTCCCCCACTCTCTGGAGGGGCATGCGAAGAGGTTGTTAGAGACCCAGCCCCCACTATCCATCACATCGTGGGACGATCTGGTCGACAAGTTTGTGCACAGGTATTATCCGGCATCGAAGACTACAGAGATACAGCGGGAGATTACTCATTTCCGCCAGGAGCCAGATGAGTCTCTTCGTGATGCCTGGGAGTGGTACTCAGGATTCTTCTGGCAGTGTCCCCATCATGGTTTTAGTGATGCATTTACAGTGGGGAATTTCTACAGCGCCCTGACCCCAGAGAGCCAGAGGGTGATCGAGTCCCTATGTCCAGGAGGGGGCTGTACCTGCCCCAGCCAGGCACTACCTGCTTCAGCACTTCCACCCGACGATGCAGAAGTGAGGGTGGAGAAGGAAGCACTTGCTCCCAAGCCACAACTAGTGGTCAAGGAGCATGTTCCCCAGCTTCCCTTTCCCACTCGACTACACAAGGACAAGCTGGAGACTGAGTTTGCCAAATTCATGGCAATGCTGAAGCAGGTCAACATCATCCTGTCGTTCGTGGAGGCACTGTCGAAGATGCCAAAGTACGCAAAATTCATGAAGGATCTCCTCACCAACAAAAAGCGACTTGGGGATCTCTCCACAGTGATGCTGAGCGAGGAGTGTTCGGCCATCCTGCAGAGCAAGCTTCCAAAGAAGCAGAAGGACCCAGGTAATTTCACTATCCCTTGCTCCATTAGCAAATTACATATAAAGAGGTCCCTGGTGGATCTAGGTGCTAGTATCAATGTTATCCCATACAAATTGTTCAGAAAACTAGGCCTAGGTGAACCCAAGAAGATGACCCAACGGAAGGACAGGTTTATGGAGAAGGGATGACCGTGAAAAAAAGACCAAGGTGAAATGAACAACGTGGAGCTCAAGTTAGAAGTCGGGGGGATAACAACTATCGTGGAGGGCAGGGAAATCGCTTCCATGCGCTACATGAGGAAGCGGAGCAGCTGAACGAATCTCTGGCCATAGAGCATATAAGAAATGAGACATCGACCAAGAAAGCCCAGATGGAGAAAAATAAGCACAAGATACCGCAACAAGGTAAACAGAACCTAGGACAACGACCTAGCACGGTTGAGAACCCCACTGCCCCCACAAAAGGACCCGCAAAACATAATGATTCTTCTAATTATGGGAACAAAGTCAAGGGTTGTGGATAAATGGGTGAGAGCAGACAAGGCAACTAGGGAGTTAAGGAGTGGGATGTGCATGCATGCCATGCATCGAACGTAAACGGTGGACCGAAGCAAAGTAGTAGTAAAGATTCCTATGGAGATGACAAAAATATGTTGAATGGTGTTCTTAGTTACAACTGCTGCGGATTGGGGAGTAAGCGTGCAGTTCGTGCCCTAAAATCGCTCTTGCAACAACACTCCCCACGGCTTGTCTTCCTGATGGAGATAAATCAAACTGTTGAAGAGAAAAAAAGTAACAAGACTTGAATTGGGTTATGAGGATGGAGAGGCTTGGTCGGTGGACCGTTCTGGAGGAGGAAGAGCAGGTGGTATCGGTTTATGGTGGAAAGAAGGGATAAATATTGAGATTATGTCAATCTCTCTGCACCCTTTCGATGCGAAAGTGAATGAGGATGAAGTGGGTGTCTAGCGGTTTTCTGGAATTAATGGTTGGTCAATCGATGGGGAGAAGTGGAGGACGTGGGACACGATTCACAAGCTAGAAGTGCAATTGGAGGGGTAATGGCTCTGTGGTGGTGACTTTAATCAAGTAAAGAACATGGAGGGAAAGAATGGGGGTCGGGATGTAGCAGATGTATTAATGACAGAGTTCGATCAATGTCTGACGGTCGCAAGTCTGTGGGACATGGGCTTTCGGGGTTACCCATTTACTTGGGAGAATTGCCGCACGAGAGGTGCCTATATTGAAGGGCGTCTCGACCGATTTGTAGCCACTGAGAGATGGTCGACTCTACTCCCGCAAGCCCGAGTCCTCCATCTCGACAAGGAGCGATCCGATCACAGGCCTATCATATAGATACCAAAGGCGAAGCCGACGTGGAGCCAAAGTGGGGCTGGTCTTTCAAGTACCAGTTGCACTAGGCTAATCACCCGGAGTGCCCCAAGGTGGTGGGGGAAGCGTGGCGAAATCAAGAAGGGACGGATACACTAACAAAACTTCTTTCTTCCAGGGAAAAGTTAGATGCTTGAAGTCGCCAAGTCTTTCCGCGATTTGGTAGACACAGAGCCAAAATCAAGAAAGCGATGGCGACCTTGGATCGCCAACCGAGAACAGACTAAACTCTAGCACAATGTCATCAACTAGAGAGTGAGCTGGCGGAACTAGAAGCAAACGAAGACTTTACTTGAGCCAAAGGTCGAGGGCAGATTGGCTACAAGATGGAGACGAAAACCCTGCCTTCTTCCATATAAAGGCCACGACTATACGAAGATGAAACATGATTCGAAAAATCAAGGATGTTGTTGGGCTCTGACACACAGAACCTGCTCAGGTTTTTGAGTATTATTTTTCTGTCTTGTTTAAATCTAGCCCGATCCCGCAAGAAACCCCGGTCCTGGATGTTGTTTCTCGGTCTGTTTCGGTGGAACAAAATGAGAGCCTTCTTCGACCCTTCGATAAAGAGGAGGTACATTCTGCCCTGCGACTGATGGATTCCAAGAAGGCGCCAGGAGAGGATGGCTTGTCAGTCATGTTTTACAAAAAAAAACACTGGGAAATCATTAGTGAGAAGGTGACGTTTGTTGTGTTAATCCTGGAAGGAGGTCCCATTTCTCCGGGTGTCAACCACACTCTCATTGCTCTCATCCCAAAAGCAAAGACGCCAACGACTCCTCAAGAATTTTGTCCCATCATTGTATGCATGTTTTGTATACATTGGTGGCGAAGGTATTGGTTAACAGACTGAAGACTGTGTTGGATCTTGTTATAGCGGAGGAGCAGAGTGCTTTCGTGCCAGGCAGATTCATTATGGATAATATTATGTCGTCTTTTGACTGCTTCCACTCAATGAAGAAGAAGTCGAAGACGAGTGTGTGAGTTTTTGAAATCAAGATCAACATGGTAAAAGCTTATGATAGGATCGAATGACACTTTTTGGAAGCAGTTATTATTTGCATGGGGTTTGACCAGGGATGGATGGCGCTGATAATGAAGTGTGTTAGGACGGTCACGTATTCTATCCTTGTGAACGGTCATTAGTCCGAGATTTTTCAACTGGACCATGTCCTTCGCCAAGGCGATCCTCTGTTGCCGTATCTATTTCTTTTTTGAGCGGAGGGCTTATCAGCAATCACAAAGAAAGCGGTCCAGGAAAAACGTCTGCATGGTCTGCAGCCAGCCAGAGAAGCTCTCTCGATTGTGTGTTTTTTGGTAGGACCACATAGCAGGAGAGTAGAACGCTAAAGGACATCTTGCATGACTATGAGGCTGAATTGGGACAACTTGTGAGCTTCCCTAAGTCGGTAGTAGCCTTTATTGGCTATGTCAAACCGCATCAATGACTCATGGTTAGCGAAACTCTGGGGTTGAATATTGTAGAAAAACATGATAAGTATTTGGGATTTCCGACTGTGGTGGGGCGCTCGAAGAAGGAGATTTTCAAAGGAGTCAAGGACAGGATCAGAAAAAATCTAAAAGGCGGAAGGAGAAGGCTATCTCGGTAGCAAGACAGGAGACGCTGATCAGAGAAGTGGCTCAAGTGCAGCTAACCTACGCCATGTCAGTTTTCAGAGTACCTATTGCCATTATTAACGAAGTTCATAGCATGATAATGAGCTTCTACTAGGGACAGAAGGGCTCTAAACAACGTGTTCATTAGATCAGTCGAGAGGCTATGATGGTACCAAAGGAGGAAGGTGGCTTGGGATTCAGGGATCTCGAGGGCTTTAATACACCAATGCTAGCTAAGCAGCTATGACTTCTGCACCAGCGATCAAATTTCCTTGTTGGCCAAAATATTTTCGAAATACGACGTCCTACATGCTCATGTTGGATATCGACTAAGTTTTATTTGGAGGGACCTCATTTCCTCTGAAACGGACCAATGGGATTGGAAAACTTTCTCAAGCTGCCTCCCATTGTAGTTTGGACATAAAGTTTTGCAGATCCCCCTTAGAGGGACCAAGGAAAGAGACGTTCTGAACTGGGATGCAAACGATTCGGGCTTGTACACGGTGAGAGACGGCTACAAAGCATGAGCGAAAATTTTTCTAAAAAAAACACCAGCAAACTAGCTATGTGGAGACATCAGTTTGGAAGAAGTTGTAGGCTTTGGAGATCCCTCCTAAGGTAAAACATTTTATGTGACCCTTTATGAGGGATATCATGGCCACAGACGACCATATTAGTACGAAGAGCAAGAAATCCATAGACAAATGCCCTTTTTGTGACTTGAAGGAAACTAAAAACATATCTTTGGAGAATGCGAATAGATTTTGCGTCTTTGGAGGGCTACAGATTATGTGGACTGCTTCTCCTGTGGTGGGTCGAATGACTGCTACTGGTGGGTTGCGACTGTTATGGGCACAATGGAGGAGGCTAAGCTGGAGGCGTGGTGTATTGTACTCTGGTTCTTGTGGAAGGAACACAATTGACAACTCTTTAATGGACAAAAGCTAGTTGAACAAGACATCATCCCTCGTGCGGAGCATTCTCTTGCAGACTACAAGACACAGCGGGTTCGAGGAGCTGTTCCGATGAGTTTGTCGCATGATGATAGATGGAGACCCCCGCCACCGGACCATGTGAAGATAAATGGTAGCATAAAAGAGAAAGCTGAGGAGTTTGTCGGTTGAGGCGACAGAATTGATGGCACCCGAGTTTGGGGTGCAGCTCGCCCATCAACATCATTTGAACAATATTGTTTTAGAAGCATATAGCCTTGGGATGCTGAACAAGATGGATGCGACTGCATTGATCCAGTCGGAGTCCGGAGTCATATGTAGGAACATCCGCATGTTGATGGGAAGGATGGGGGAGACGAGTTGGCGACATGTTATACGCAATGGTAATGCAGCTGCCCATATCATGGCTCACTCGAATACCAGAGTCGATGCTCGCTCAGTTTGGCTTGATATGCCACCGGTGTTTTTGATTGATCAATTAGCGTTGGACAATGTAACCACAAATTTTGATATAAGAAGCTCATACAGATTCCCATAGAAAAAGAGTGTCATTCCTACATATGATGGCTAAGAAGATCCTTGTTTTGTCCTCAACTTTTATAATAGGTTTGGATTTTTACGACTAGCTTTGATATGAAATTTGATGTTGTATCGTTATTGTCTTGATAAATAAGTAATGCAATTACAAATTAGAAAAGTAGCCACAGAAAATGCAAAATATGTTTTAAATTATAGGTCTGGTCATACCTAAAGGCTAAAACAAAGATGAGTAGATTGTTCCAAAGTGCAATTAAAAAGAAAAGTTGCAAAATGACTAAATGAGAAAAGTAAAAGAAAACAATGAGCAAAAGAAAGTTACAGATCCATCATAAATTTTTTATTTTTCAAAATCTTTATTATAACTTATAAGTAAAAAGAGTTATTTTTTTTACAAAAAAAAAAGAGTTATTATTTTTCAAATTGAACAAGCGAAAGGAACTCTAAAAATGTTACAATTTATTCGATAAAAGAAACAAAAGGATAAAAAAGAAGAGATAGAGGAGAGGGATGGCCGGGGAAGAAGTTTCCCGCAAATTTATTAGAATTTTTGTGTTTTTTTAACTATTTATTTATTTATATTATTTGTCCTTCTTCCTTGTAATGTTACTGTAGTGTCCTCTCTCCGCTCTAACTCATAACAACAGCAATCTTCCCTCCAACATTTATCACAACACAAACTAAAAATTCCCTCCTTCCCTCGTTTTCTGCTCTTCCGCCATCTCCTTCCCCTAACCCCCACTTTCCCTCAAAAACCCAAATTCCGCCCCACTCTCCCTCTCTCTCTAAACTCCTTCACTTTCTCTCTCTAGCCTTCCCCTCAGATCCCTCACTCCCGGCCACCGCCGTTACGATTCCCCACCGATTCCTCTCAGCTCAACTTCCCTTTTCCGATGTCCGGCGGCGCCCCTGCCTCCTCCCACCCACCGCCTCCCTCCGCGGGGGCAGCCCCCGCGCCGTCATCCGCACCGATTCTTCCTCCCCTCAGGCGCCACCTCGCTTTCGTCTCGATGAAGCCGCCATTTATGGCCCCCGACGATTACCATCGTTTCACTTCTCCCGCTGCCCCCTCTAAGGTCGCCGATCGGGAAGCTGAAGCTATCGTCGTGAGATCTCCAGTAGGCTCCTCCTTTCCCCTCATTCCAGCATTTCTGTTTTGCTCTTTGTCTATGTGTTCGCGCGCTGCTGCTACGCCGGCTCTTGGACTGTTTGTTTGTTAGCTTTGCTGCGTCTTCTTCTCGTTTTATAGCTGGAATTGGCTCGCAGATAGTACTGACTTTTGGGGCGCTAGTCGAATTGTTTGAAAAATGCCCTTTCTGGGTTGGCTGCTGGGAGTGGTTCTATGGCCAATTAAGTTCGTGAGCGCTAGGGTCTCGGGAGAGTTGTTGGAGCTTCTTTCTGGGGGGCTGAGATTCCTAGGCATTTGCACTAGTCCTCTTCAATTAAGCCTTTTGTGTTCGCCCATTAGTTACTGACTTTCTCCTCAAATTGGAACGATTCTTTACTGATTTTCCACATCATACTCGACAGTAAATTGCATCGTTTCTTTCTGAGTTTAATAAGCGGGATTCAGGCCTTAGTTGGTCTATAATTGTGCTTAAGTTTGCTTGTTGTTTTAGCTCATTGTTGTTATGCTTGGTGGCAGTTGAAAAGAAAGATCAGACTAGATGATAATGGAATTGATTCCAGCAAGGTTGCAAGCAGTCCCGGACAGACTGATGCATCTAGTAGTCCTTATCACACCCCGGTATCTGCTGCGAAAGGGGGGAGAACAAACAACAGGGCTAAGTCGACAAAGAGTAATAAATCGGTTCCTCAGACGCCAGTTTCAAATCCTGGTGAGACACTTCAGCTGTTTGGGTCTTCTAATGTTTGGTTATTGTTCTGAGGTCGGTTCGTTCTTGGGTGCTTATTTGGTAGGATATGTGTAAGTGTGAATCCACTCTATGTTTGTATAGCTTTGTTTAGTTGACACTGTATCTTGCTTTCTGAAAGAATTAGCATTATGGGTTGGACACTACTGACTACATGTGTGTTTGAACGAAAGACATTGCAGGTTCCCCATCTGCACTTACTCCTGCTGGCAGCTGCCGCTATGATAGTTCCTTAGGTCCGTACTAATCGAATTTTTATGCTAATCTTCATCTCAATTTTGGAGTTTCACTTGGGGTTTCGGCTGACAGAATAATGTGGTGGAAACTGTCAGGTCTCTTAACTAAGAAGTTCGTCAAACTAATAAGGGAGGCAGAAGATGGGATTATTGATCTTAATAAAGCTGCAGAAACCTTGGAGGTAATCATTTTTCTGATTGGCTGTTTGAGTTATTGAATATGCTGTTGTGCTTATGGGGGAGTTTTTGTTGGATAGGTGCAAAAGCGGCGTATATATGACATAACAAATGTCTTGGAGGGAATTGGTCTGATTGAGAAGACACTTAAGAATAGAATACGATGGAAGTAATAATTTAAGCATCTCTTGGCAAATCCTTTCTCTTTTCTTGTTTTATTTTTTGGAATTCTATTCTGGTAGTTCCCGAATCCGTAGAACTCATGCATGGCCTGATTAAATGGTTGACCAGGGGTGCTGATGCTTCTAATTCGGGGAATGCAGATGGCAATTCCTCTCAATTGCAGGTAGGTGCTAGGTGATATTGCTTCTTTGATATACTAAAGGAATGCAGATGGTAATTGTGTCTTCTACCATCATAGTATTCAATGATGGCAATTGATCAAATGATTTTCTCTCATTTGTTTCCTTGCAGGCAGAAATCGAAAAGCTTTCACTGGAAGAGCAAAATCTAGACAATCAAATTAGGTTAACTAGTTCATTCCTTGCTTGAACATTCACTGACAGTATGTCTTCTGTCATGCGACTCTGATTCTGTTACACTTTTGCAGAGAAACACAGGAGAGACTGAGAACTTTGAGTGAAGATGACAACAACCGAAAGTAAACCCTTCTCCCATGGAAACTATGTCATTGCTCCCATGTGCGTGATGATCATAATAACAACTCATCAACCATTCTAACAATTTCAGGTGGCTTTTCGTTACTGAAGATGATATTAAGACGCTCCCTTGTTTTCTGGTTAGTTATTTGATCTTCACCTTTTCTTCTCAAAGATTATGGCACCCTTTCCCAATTGTGTGCTTATGAGGTTGTGATTCTGTGACCTTGGCAGAATGAAACTCTCATAGCTATTAAAGCTCCCCATGGAACAACTTTGGAAGTTCCTGATCCTGCTGAAGTAAGTGAATTTTGTAATCTTACTAGGAAATACGAGGAATGGTTTTGTTTTCCTTCTTCTAATGCATCTCAACTAAGCTGACTGCTGCTATGTGCACCAGGCTGTTGATTATCCACAGAGGAGATATCGCATAATCCTTAGAAGTACAATGGGTCCTATTGATGTCTATCTTGTCAGGTATGTGACTGATTGCCTGAAGACACCCCCTATTAAACTAATGTATATCTGTGTTTATACTCATCTCTGCTTTGAAGCCTGAGTCATCTCTTTTTCCTCCACAGCAAATTTGAGGAAAATTTTGAGGAGGCCAATGAAGTAGGCCCCTCAACTAGCTTTCCACCACATGCTTCTAGCTCAAGTTCAAGTGTAAACCCACAGATGGAGATGGTTTCTACTACTCAGAGAACCGAGAAAGCCGCGGAACCTCCAGTATTGCAAGATGCTCATCATCATATGTTCTCAGACTTCAATGCTTCACCGGAATATGTAGGAGGAATGATGAAGATTGTTCCTTCAGATGCCGATGTAGGCCCCCCAATTTCTTTGACTGTTCACTTCCTGTCTATTTTGTTTCTCTAAGAAGTAAGTCTGTTATAACAACTTCTTTGGTAATGTTTCGTGCTTTTGCAGAATGATGCAGATTATTGGCTTCTTTCTGATGCGGGTGATGTTAGCATTACCGACATGTGGAAGACAGATGGTATCCTTGCAGATTTTTACTCTTCTCCTTCAACTCCCCCACGACCTGTAAGTTGAACATAACACTCACTCACTTTCCTTCTATGGTGACTCTCTTACTCCTGCCGATATTGATTGGCCCCATGTGAGAATGCTTTTCAGTCCGACTTTGGGATGGAGGAAGTCCACACTCCTCTGCCGCAGACTCCATCATCAAGGATTGGTTGACAAGTCTTCTGGCGTATTGTAAGATCGACTCCTGGCTAAGGCAATACGGGACTGTACAAGTCGAGCTAAGATCAAGCAAATGGTCATCTTTTTTCACCGAAGGCAACGATCATCACTGCCTAAAGGACTCAACATGCAGAGGCTCAATTCTCCAGGAAGCTGACAGATGGGGTAAGCTAACTAACATGGCGTATACTCTAATGTTACCTTTACGCCGTTTGTTGAAAGTTGGAAAAGATAGAGAAATAGGAAAAACGAGGTGAGTGAATGCTTTGCTATGGAGTTGGGTAGTGTAGGACACAAATCATAATAGAATTTGGAGAGAAGAAATCAAGAAGTCGGATTTGCAACTAATTGTCTGAGAATGTGAATGTCCTTTGTAATTGTGATACCGAGTACTATAGAAGAATTCGTTTCAACCTTGGGAGGAAAACAAATGTAGCTGTTCTCACGTGGGACAAAAACAAAGCACGAGATGATTGTTGAACAGCATTTCTCAACCAGAGTTTTCATTTTTTGTAGTTGTCTATCATCATAGTTTTGTACACACTTCAAGTAAATTATTAACATGATGTCAGTCATGGCTGTAGTCTTAGAACTGCCCTCGTTTTCTTGGGGTGAATTCACCACCTGTCTTATGTCAAGCACTGTTGTTTACTTCAAATATTAGATCGATCTCGCAAGACGCAAGTAATTCATTGATGGAACTTCACTCTCTACCATTTTGAGAGTCATATGTCAAGTACTGTTGTTTAAGGTGCGTTTGGATAAGTGTATTTTAAATATAAGGTATTTGAAATACTAGCATTTGAAATAGATGTATTTGAAATATTCGCATTTGAAATACATGTAATTCAAATTCGTTGTTTGGATACTCATTTGTAATTTGTTTGTATTTTATATTTTATGATTTTCAGTATCAATTTTTAATTTTCTGGTCACTTACTACAAATTTTGGTAAATTACAGTTTGGTACCCAAATTTATTTTTTCTTGCAATTTAGTACCTAAACTTTTAAAATTTTACAAAAAGGTCCTGACATTTTGATGGTAAAGTTACATTTTGGTACCTTTATATGTTTTGCCTCACACTATAATACCTAAAATTTTCATATTTTACAAATAGGTCCATTCTTTTGTTAGGAGGTATTTCAAATCACTAGTTGTTGAAATGTATTTGGAGTTGACAAAAAATACACTAGACATGTATTTGAAAATCACCCCATGAATTTGACACAAATCCAAATACCAAATGAATTAGTATCCAAACACATGATTTGGTATTTGGAAATCCAAATCACAAATACAAAATCCAAATCATTGTATCCAAACGCACCCTAATAAAGAGTGTACGATCACTGATTCTGATATTGTATGGTATTGGTCAGTGTTTAACTGCTTAGCAGTGACTAATTTGATAGGTTTTACGGTTTTGTTGTATTATCCGATATGCGGATTGCAAATGAATCGAGATGGTTGTTACTTGACTCATCTTATAAAACAATGTTCGAACGATGATACTTGAGGTTTTGAAAATACAAATTAAATTATGACTATTCTTATGGAGATTTCTCTAGAGAGCTCGAGGGCAGGGGATTACGAGTACACTCATGTTTCTCAACTCTCTTCCCAAAATTGAAGTCCCCAACCGTTCTGCATCTCACGCTCCCAACTTCTCTTCATGTGAAACTCACGTGCACGTACACCAATTAAATGTGAGTTAGTGACACCACCTCAAGTTCATCGTTTTGTTTCTATTTTGATGTTTGCCGGTTTCAGTCCCTCAATTAGCGCCAGAAACCTGCTTCGTTGTTCATGCCATCCATCCTCTGTCTCTATTCTCTTTTTTCCCTAATGTTTGATGATATCTCTTTAATTGTCTGATTTGTTAAGTGCACATTCAAACTCCGTAAATAATTTTGTTATGACGATGAAGGAATTTCCTACATTACTAATATTCTAATATTCTAAGACTTGTTCTTTCGTTGCGAAGCTCAACTTCGACTCAGACCCTCACTTTGAGCTACCCCAAGATCGAACCACAATTGTTGAGACGCGAGAAAACTCTTATCCCAACCAATGACACTATCTTACTTGCCAACCTCCCACATGATACCCACAGGAGGCATCAGAATCTCGTCAAAAGACGCAAAAGCAAGATTGAGCCTATGTTGTCGATGAAATGAAAAACTACGATACCTCTCGGTCCTTGGTTGCCCCATAGGTTATCCATAGGGAACATAGTGCAATTCACCTCTGATTGTACGGGAGTCTGGTACGATGCGTACATGATGACTGCCAAGTTCAAAAGCGTAGCAAACACAAATAGACCAACACCCATCATCTTGACCGATCATCGGATTAGGGTCTCTTAGGTCAATGCGGTTGATGGCATCCACCACCCCACTATCATACAAGTTGGCGTGTCACCAATCATGGTCGCGAATTTCTTTTGCGATGATGCGCCTCATCTCCATTTACCTCGCCTAAGTACCATGTATTGCAAAACTGAGCGCACACAACCTACAATGATAGTCCAGAATAGGGTCGTGAAATGAACTAAAACGTCCTTTAACGATCACTGGTAGCCGATGCGAGTGACAATATTATGTCCGGCTGCTGGGAACTCTGTTATTATAGAACTGGAAATTAGTTTGGCTAAAAAGAGACAAGTACACTTATATAGGGTTAAATGCACCACATGCCACTTAAGTATAGTATATGTCGGACACCAACCATCTAATTTGTTTTTGTTGCAACTAAATCATATAAGTCAAATTAAGGTTGCAACTAAGCCATATAAATCGAATTATAGTTGCATCATCACAATTTTCGTCCATAAACTTAACGGATGGTACCAAATATAAATTATTGTGCTACATTTTCGGATAAAATAAAAGCTAAATAATAATACTGCACAAATGTCAAACTTACACGACCATTTTGGATAATTAACCTTCCCCTCTCTCTTATTTGCTTATCCTTCACTCATCGCTTCACATAGATAAGTAAACTGTTGCCTAGGGCTGGGAAAATAGACCGGACCATTAGAAAAACCGTGGTCCAAACCGTACTGTACAGTTTGGTCCGGACCGTAGACCGTTAAGTATGGTCTGGTCTGGTCCATGGTCTGTATTATTTTATGTTTTGATCTCTTGGTCTGGTCTGATCTAGACCGCGGTTTACCGGACCAGACAGTGGAACCCAACTGACTTGTCAATACGTATTAACAACCCATTCGATCACTCTTCCAATTCCCACAACGACATCCAAGTCTCAACCTTAGTTTTGTGAATCTCGTTACTCCTTCATTCACAACCACATTTAACCAGAGAGTAGAGATAATTGTGTCTCCATATGACATTATGTTAATGTTTATGACGTTATGATGCAAGTTGAGATGCTTTTACTTTATATATTTGTTATGTACTAAGATTTAGGGTATCAAAATTATTCATGCATGTTAGGATTAATGTGTTAAGGCAAATAACAATTATTTTTCTTGGTGATTAGTTCAATTTTTTGTGTGGTTGACTAAACAAATTATTCATTTTTCATTGAGTGTGGTCTATCTGGACCAGACCAGACCGAACCAGACCGCACAGGCGTGGTCTGGACCAGACCGTATAGTTTATGGTCTGGTCTGTGGTCTATACTTCAGCCTCAGACCAGACCACACCGTTTCCCAGCCCTACTGTTGCCGGCTCTCTCTCATTCTCAGCCAAACCATTCCTCTTATGGCTACGTAATCCATCCCTATCCACCTTCTACATTAGGCTACGAGAAGATCAACATATTCCTCATTTCTTTCTTCCATTTATTACTCTATTTTCATCTATCTCTCCCCCTTCCAATTTGTGAGCTATTTATAAGGATCTTCGAAGCACAAATCTAAGCTTTGTCTTCTTAATATGTTCTTGCTATAAAGAAGGCATCTTTTTGTCTCAACTGGTCAATTTAAGGATTTGTGATTGGATTGAATTGAATTGAGAGGAAAAAGATATCAAAGAGAGGTAAATAAAGAGTAGTAACCAGAATTTCCAGAACTAGAATGGTGGGAGGCGAGACACAAGAGCAACCAATGAGGAACATAAAAGCAAGCAGAATGCAAAACATAGTATATGAAAAATTGGAAAACAATCGTGGGAAATATAGGGAGAGCTTGAGACTGTGATTTCAGTTCTGTTTGGATTTTAAATGCAATTTAGGGCTCGGTAGAGGGGTGAAACGCAACAACTTAGGATTTCAATTCTCTTTCATTTCATCCCTTCTGAAATGGAGGGGTGAGAAGAGTAAGCAATAGGATGATCAGGACCGAGAGAATTCTTTAGAGAGAGAAAGTTCTTTGATACAGAGTGAGAGAGTGAAAAATGCGATCCCTTCACCCACCAGAGTAAATGTCGTATTTATAGGCTACATTGTGGTGAGTGAGTATTTAATGTAACATGACTACTGACATGTCAAGCGTTTAGGCCATGCCTCTACCTAGGACTCAACAATTTACCCATGATTATACCTAGGACTAGGATGTGACCATTCTTCGGGAAATACGGTGTCGTTTCCTGGTTCGGTCTTAGTCTGAGCAAAACGGCGTCGTTCGGCATCTTGGTTCTTTGTAGCGCGATCTGCCTCGCGGAGCTTCGTCCGCGAGTGCGGCCTTCTCCGCGTCCATGATCTCTCCGCGAGTTCTTCCGCGCCTTGGTCGCGATGGCACTAGCGCGCGTGCTTTCACTGGGACGGTGCCGGGCATTTTCCTTGGCACGAGTAGACCCAAGCCCTACCCCCAACACATGGTATATGAAAAATTGGAAAACAATCGTGGGAAATATGGGGAGAGATTGAGACCGTGATTTCATTTCTGTTTGGATTTTAAATGCAATTTAGGGCTCGGTAGAGGGGGGAAACGCAACAACTTAGGATTTCAATTCTCTTTCATTTTATCCCTTATGAAATGGAACAGGGTGGTGGTGAAACGACCAAGGAAGGAGAAGAGAGAGAGTAGGAGAGAGGGGGGGGGGGGGAGAGTTATTATTTAAAATGGTCACATAAGTTTGACATTTGTGCAAAATGATTATATACGATTTATTTTCTTCGAATTGGTAACAAAATAATTTCTCTTTGGTACCCTTCGTTAAGTTAGTGGATGGAAACTGCGATGGTGCAACCAAAATCAATTTATATGATTTAGTTGCAACCATAATTTGACTTATGTGGTTTAAATGCAACAAAAACAAGTTAGAGGGTTAGTGTGCAACATACACTACACTTAAGTGGCACATGATGCATTTAACCCTTTTTATATAAACTAATATTGAAATGGTTACGTGTGTGTACCAATATAATGTTCGTTTGGACCAAGTTCGCCGAATGTGTGCTCATATGAAGGACACCCGTCTCTCTAGGTCCTTGTGGACTTAGTCTTCGCCAATTTGGTGGACCCCGACGTTGTGCTCCCAGAGTTGGTTTTCATGATCTTCTTGAGCGCGCGCAACTGGTTCTTCTCCCACCAAGATTTATTTCGTCCAATTGATTTTTTCTTCAGTCCTCCTTTTTTGTTTTCGTTCACCTCCGACTTGTGAATAGTGTCTTGCGCTGGGTGGAGTTCGTGAAACATGCCTGTGACTGCTTTCTAGTAATCTCTGGCCCTCTATGTACGACCTCTTCGGCCAAGTCGAATAAGTGTTGTTGCAATGCATTCACTACGGGTACATATTCTTCAACATTGGGTGGGTTCCCATACTCCAACGATTGCCAAAAGATGTGCAGTTCACTAGGGTATATCTCTCTATCTGACGCTCTAGCCACCTCAACCTGGCATCCACACTTTAGATCGTGCGTGACATGATATGGCATGGACATCATTTTCCCAGTTTTCCTTCCACTTCTTTCATTAGTATAATTGCTTTTGCGCTGACCAGCCTTTGCAAGTATGTAAATGGTGAGCTGTCAGATGCTAAAAGTTTTTTTTCTCGAGAATTTTCCAACATCTCCCTCACTTCAATGAGTTGCTTTTCAAGGAAACGATGGTTTGCTTGCCATATTGTGTTGATATAACCATGGGAATTTCGAAGGTATGTTTTAAATGATGAATGTGGGGACTCAACCCTATTTAAGCTCTTGTTTCCCAGATGGAATGCATGTTTCATAAGATAAATTGTCCACTTCTCTCGGTGCCCCCACCACTCATGCATTATGTAATCCACCATGCATGGGTCCTTGTTGTCCCAAACCCTTCTAATGTTTTCCATGTCAGTGTACAAACCTTCTTCAGACCATAAGACCCGACTCCCGAGGCTTTAACATTGAACTGCATAATGTGATGCTCTCCGTGTTAATGTGGATAGTGAGGTAGTTCGACACCAATGAGAAAAACATAATTAACATCAGCACTGGAAGCAATTACAAAGTTTTCCAAATGGAAATGTGTCTTAAATTATAGTGATTAGTAGCAATGTTGTTTTGTGTTTTAGGAAATGCTGTGTTTTCCTCTTTTTTTGTGAATTGTAGTTTGTAGCGTCTTATATTTGAAATGATGGATTGATAAATAGGAACTATTGATTTTCAGTAATAACATTAAACACAAAGAGCCACTCTGTATAAATAGTGTTCGTACGACAATTGCGAACTATCCTATTTGAATTTTTATTGTTCCGAATGGTTGATATTCATTATTCAACACACGAGAGTCAAGCCTACCATATGAGCAAGGAAAGTCAAGTAATGAACTATCACGCATATAGTGCATAGATGGTCAATCTTTTCTAAGAAAAAATCAGTAATTTTTAGAGTCAAGTACTTCCATGCTATTTCAGTTATATTATCAATAAAATATTTATAAAATTCCAAATTATTGAAAAATTTAATTAAATCGATTAACATAAAACAATATAAAAAAAAACACAAAAACAAAATTCATTTGACAAAAGAATAATAAATTGATTGACAAAAACTAGTGGGAAAAGTAAACAAAAATAATCAGCAAAGGAAATAATAAGAAAGCTACAATTTATTTGACAAAAGAAACATAAGGATAAAAAGTAAAAAAGGTAAGAGAATAAAATTTCCCGCAATTTTAATAGAATCATTGCGTTTTTAACTAATGTATATATATATATATATATATATATATATATATATATATTACTGTAGTGCCCTCACCGCTCTAAACAACATCTTCCCTCCACATCTATCATTCACAACACAAACTAAAAATTCCCTCTTTCCCTCGTTTTCTGCTCTTCCTCCATCTCCTTCCCCTAACCCCCACTTTCCCTCAAAAACCCAAAATTCCGCCCCACTCTCTCTCTAAACTCCTCCACTTTCTCTCTCTATAGCCTTCCCCTCAGATCCCCACTCCCGGCCACCGCCGTTCCGATTCCCCACCGATTCCTCACAGCTCAACTTCCCTTTTCCGATGTCCAGCGGCGGCGCTCCTGCCTCCTCCCACCCACCGCCTCCCTCTGCGGGGGCAAGCCCCGCGCCGCCATCCGCACCGATTCTTCCCCCCCTCAGGCGCAACCTCGCTTTCGTCTCGATGAAGCCGCCCTTTGTTGCCCCCGACGATTACCATCGCTTCACTTCTCCCGCTGCCCCCTCTAAGCTTGCCGATCGGGAAGCCGAGGCTATCATCGTGAGATCTCCAGTAAGCTCCTCTTTTCCCCCTCACTCCAGCATTTCTGTTTTGCTCTTTGTCTGTGTCTTCGCGCGCTGCTGCCGCGCCGGCTCTTAGCTTGTTTGTTTGTTTGTTAGCCTCGTTTTAGCTGGAATTGGCTCACCAGATAGTTTTGACTTGTGGAGTGCTAGTCGAATTGTTTGAAAATGCCCCTTCTGGGTTGGCTGCTGGGAGTGGTTGTATGGCCAATTAAGTTCGTGAGCGCTAGGGTATCGGGAGAGTAGTTGGAGCTGCTTTACGTGGGCTGAGATTCCTAGGCATTTGCACTAGTACTCATCAATCAATTAAGCCTTTTGTGTTCACCCTTTAGTTACCGACTTTCTCCTCAAATTGGGACGCAGCTTTACAGTATTTCCACATCATACTCGACAGTGAATTGCCTCGTTTCTTTCTGAGTTTAATAAGCTGGTTGGTCTATGCTTCTGGTTACCTTTGCTTGTTCTTTTAGCTCATTGTTGTTGTGCTTGGTGTAATCGTGGCAGTTGAAAAGAAAGATCAGACTAGACGATAATGGAATTGATTCCAGCAAGTTTCCAAGCAGTCCCGGACAGACTGATGTGTCTAGTAGTCCTTATCACACCCCGGTATCTGTTGCTAAAGGGGGGAGAACAAACAACAGGGCTAAGTCGACAAAGAGTAATAAATCGGTTCCTCAGACGCCAGTGTCAAATCCTGGTGAGGCACTCACCTGTCATTTGGGTCATTTAATGTTTGGTTATTGTTCTGAGGTAGTTTGGTCCTTGGGTGCTTACTTGGTAGGATATATGTAAGTGCAAATCCACTCTCTGTTTGTATAGCTTTGTTTAGCTTACACTGTATTTTTCCTTAGGAAAGAATTAGCATTATGGGTTGGACACTACCGAGTACTGATTACATGTGTTTGAACGAAAGACATTGCAGGTTCCCCATCGGCACTTACTCCTGCTGGCAGCTGCCGCTATGATAGTTCCTTAGGTCTGTATCGATTGAATTCTGTATGCTACTTTTCATCTCAATTTTGGAGTTTCACTTAGGTTTTGGCTGACAGAGTAATGTGGTGGAAACTGTCAGGTCTCTTAACGAAGAAGTTCGTCAAACTAATAAGGGAGGCAGAAGATGGTATTATTGATCTTAATAAAGCTGCAGAAACCTTGGAGGTAATCATTTTTCTGATTGGCTGTTTGAGTTATTGAATATGCTGTTGTGCTTATGGGAGAGTTTCTGTTGGATAGGTGCAAAAGCGGCGTATATATGACATAACAAATGTCTTGGAGGGAATTGGTCTGATTGAGAAGACACTTAAGAATAGAATACGATGGAAGTAATAATTTAAGCATCTCTTGGCAAATCCTTTTTCTTTTCTTGTTTTGTTTTTGGAATTCTATTATGGTAGTTCCCGAATCCGCTGAACTCATGCATGGCTTGATTAAATGGTTGACCAGGGGTGCTGATGCTTCTAATTCAGGGAATGCAGATGGCAATTCCTCTCAATTACAGGTAGGTGCTAGGTGATATTGCTTCTTTGATATACTAAAGGAATGCAGATGGTAATTATGTCTTCTGTCATGATAGTATTCAATGATGGCAAGTGATCAACTTATTTTCTCCTATTCGTTTCCTTTGGAGTTTGAGGGCGCAACTGGAAAGTGTGGGTGTTTAATGGACTTCTGGAGAAACGGGTTATATCCTCAATTTTCTCTTGCAGGCAGAAATCGAAAAGCTTTCACTGGAAGAGCAAAATCTGGATAATCAAATAAGGTTAAATAATTGATTCCTTGCTTCAACGTCACTGCACAGTCTGTCTTCTGTTGTGCGACTCTGATTCTGTTACCCTTTTGCAGAGAAACGCAGGAGAGACTGAGAAATTTGAGTGAAGATGACAATAATCGAAAGTAAACCCTTCTCCCATGGAAACTCTGTCATTGCTCCCATCTATGTGATGATCATAATAAAAACTCTTTAATCATTCTAACAATTTCAGGTGGCTTTTCGTCACAGAAGATGATATTAAGACCCTCCCGTGTTTTCTGGTTTGTTTATTTGTTATTCTTCACCTTTTCTTCTCAAAGATCACGGGACCCTTTCCCCGTTGTGCGCTTATGAGTTTGTGATCTGTAACCTTCGCAGAATGAAACCCTCATAGCTATTAAAGCTCCCCATGGAACAACTTTGGAAGTTCCTGATCCTGCTGAAGTAAGTGACTTTTGGAATCTTACTAGGAAATACGTGGAGTGCTTTAGTTTGTTTTCTTCTTCTAATGCATCTCAACTAAGCTGACTGCTGCTATGTGCTCCAGGCTGTTGATTATCCACAGAGGAGATACCGCATAATCCTTAGAAGTACAATGGGTCCTATTGATGTCTATCTTGTAAGGTGTGTGACTGATTGCCTAAAGACACCCCCTATCGAACTGATTTCTTTGTGTGTTAATACTTGTTTATGCTTTGAAGCCTGAGTTATTTTTTTTTCTCCACAGCAAATTTGAGGAAAATTTTGAGGAGGCCAATGAAGTAGGGCCCTCAACTAGCTTTCCACAACATGCTTCTAGCTCAAGTTCAGGTGTAAACACACGGATGGAGATGGTTTCTACTAGTCCGAGAATCGAGAAGGCAGTGGAACCTCCAGTATTGCAAGATGCTCATCATCATCATATGTTCTCGGACTTCAACGCTTCACCGGAGTATGTAGGAGGAATGATGAAGATTGTTCCATCAGATTCCGATGTAGGTCCCCCTCTTCATTGAGTGCTCTCTTCCTGTCTTTTTTTTGTTTCTCTAAGAGATAGGAAGTCTGTTATAACAACAATTTCTTCGATAATGTTTCGTGCTATTGCAGAATGATGCAGATTATTGGCTTCTTTCTGACGGGGGTGACATTAGCATCACCGACATGTGGAAGACAGATGGTATCCTTGCAGATTTTTATTCTTCTCCTTCAACTCCCCCAGGACCTGTAAGTTGAATATAGCCCTCTCTTTCACCTTACTTTTGGGGGGACTCTTATACTCCTCTGCCGATGTTGATTGGCTCTATATGAGAATGCTTTTCAGGCTGACTTTGGGATGGAGGAAGTCCACACTCCTCTGCCTCAGACTCCATCATCAAGGATTGGTTGACAAGTCTTCTGGCATATTGTGAGATCGACTCCTGGGGACTGTACAAATTGAGCTAAGATCAAGAAAACGGTCATCATTTTTCAGGGAAAGCAACAATCATCACTGCCTAAAGGACTTGTCACGCAGAGGCTCAATTCTCCAGGAAGCTGACAGATGGGGTAAGTTAACAAACATTGCCTATACTCTAATTTTACCTTTACGTCTGTCTGTTGGAAGTGTGAAAAGGAAGAGAAATAGGGGGGAAAACGTGGTGAGTGAATGCTTTGGTATGTAGTTGGGTAGTGTAGGACACACATCATAACAGAGTTTGTGGAGAGAAGAAACCAAAAAGCCGGATTTGCAACTAATTCGTTGAGAATGTGAATGTCCTTTGCAATTGTGATATCCAGTACCGACTGCTATAGAAGAATTAGTTTCAACCTTGGTAGGAAAACAAATGTAACTGCTCTCACATGGGACAAAAACAGAGCACGAGATGATAGGTGAACATAATTTCTCAACCAGAATTTCTCCATTTTTATAGTTGTCTCTCATCATAGTTTTGTACACACTTCAAGTAAAATTATTAACATGATGTCATTCATGGCTGAAGGCTTCGAACTGCCCTCGTTTTCTTGGGTGAATTCACCACCTGTCTTGTACTATGACTGCCTCTGTGGTTGCAGCCTGTAAAACTCACAAATGTTAGATCGATCTCGCAAGTAATTCATTGGTGGAATTTCACACACTACCATTTTTACAGTCATATGTCAACCACTGTTGTTAACTAAAGAGTGTACGATCGCTGTTTGTGATACTATGGTATCAGTTTTGTATTGTATAGATCGGTGTTGTACTGCTTAGCAGAGACAACTCCTACAGGTACGATTTTGCTGTATTATCCAGGCGGCAAATGAGTCAAGTCAAGTCGAGTGTAAATGAGCAGAGTTCGGTTCGTTTGCTGAAATGTTGGTTCTTTTTTTTTTTTTACTTGAGCTCGACTCGTTAATGAGCTCACGAACTCTAGTTGAGTTTAACTTATCAATCAGCTTGCTAGTTTGACTCGAGCTTAATCTTGTTATTTAATATGTTATTTAATAGTAATTAATACCTAAGCAATCTATGACAAACCTATAAATTATCAACAACCTAAGTCACAAGATGTAGATCAATTCGTTCATAACCTTCTAATTGAGATGGTTATCAAATTGAGCTAGTTCATGAGTTGAACAAGGAATAACTCGAGTTATCGAGCTGCTGGTGAGCATGTTAGCTCATTTGCAGCCCTATGCCCCTATCTTTAGCTTTTTATTCTATCTTGGGTACTGTTTCACGTGAATGTTGTGTTGCGCAAAAGATTTTCGGGTCGAAGCTGCTGGATTCCCTTTTTTCTTTATAGGATTATACAGATAACCGTGTTGACAGGAGAAGAGAAGGGCAGAGAAAACCAAAATGGTCTCCACTTACTCTCTAGTCTACCCTCTTATACTGTGTGTTGGTTAAAGCCACAAGCAAGCAGAAAACGAAGCATAGAAACAATTGATTCTTTATCTTCTACGACCCTATGGCCTATACAGGTCGAAAATAATAGTGTAGTTCCCATACCCTTTGTCTTATTGGGTTGGGTTGCATGGATGAGATCATGAGATCTCAGTGGGACTCTTTCTGGGGTTGTGAAGTTGTGTTCCACGATGCGAGAGAGCATACAATCTATTAGAACTTATCGGATGTCTCCGAAGGGACCAATCTATTAGAACTTAGAATGGATAGGAAAGTCGACAATACAAGAAAGTAAAAAACACACAAATTTACGTGGTTTATTAATATCAGAGTGTGTTAGCTACATTCATGATCAGGAAAGAAGCCGTTTCACTATACTTAAGGGAATACAAATTATTTTACAAAAAAAAAAAAAAGGAATACAAATTACAACGAGACCCCATACTTAAGGGAATACAAATTATTTTACCAAAAAAAAAAGGAATACAAATTACAACGAGACCCCTGTAACTTTCAATCGACAATTTGTCTTCAATTCATAGCAATATCATCTATTAATAGCATTGCAGGGACCAACATCCATCATCTCCTCTGCCCTGCCCACTCACATGCACAACCAAGAAATACTACATAGTCCATACTCCATACACAAACACAAGATGGCTTCTATCTATGGGGGAGCAAGAAGCTCTGCCTTTCTTTAGGGTGCTTACAACTTCTCAAAAGCTGTTTGATCTTTGATTAAATAACATGATGATGTCTGCTTCATGTTTGTAGTGCACTATCTTTGTCATCCTGCTAATGTTATGCTTGAGGTAGTGTTTGTTAGAAACACGATTTTTCGTGTTTATCATTAATATTATTATTAGGATAATTCTTATTATGGTTAGTAGTCTTCTAGTAGAATTAGGTTTATTCTTAGGGTTTTCTAGTATTTCGCTATATATATGTACTTTGGGTCATTCATCAGATTAAGCAGAAATTAATAGAAAAGTCCTCCTTCCCCAAATCCCTAATCTCTTTCTCTCAAATCTCGTCTATTCTTCTTCCTAGAGGCTTCGGCCGTTCTTTCTGTTCTTCCCCAATTCTGTTCCTAATCCCAATTCTCCTTCCAAATCCCTAATTCTATCTTCTCGATCCCTAAATTCCCAAATATCACCCAATACGAATCCCGTTAGAAACTTTGTTTCTAACATTTGGTATCAGAGCCCGGTTTCGAGAATTGAGTTTTTCACAACTCTCAACCGGGGGCGAGTTCTACAACTAGTGAGCTCTTCAAAGCTCTCGAACCTGTCGTGGGCAGAGCTGCGTGAACGGGCTCGGCGCATCGGCTGTCGTTGGAGCTCGGAGGAGCTGCCGACCGGGAATGCCGCCACAGCAAAAGTGGAGTGTGGGGCGAATCGACGGGTTAATTTGTCGGCACCGCAACCCTCTACGGCAGCGGCCCAAGCACCAGCAGCCCGATTCGAGCCGATGGTGGCCAAAATGTCGGAACAGGAGTCGGATATCGCCGTTGGGGGATCGCCTCGGACTCTCCGGGGTGAGTCGACGCAAACTTCGGATGGGGCGCGGCGATCGACGACGGTTTCCGCAGAGTCTTCGATCGAAGGGGAAGGAAGGCAGAGCAGCGCGACGCCAGAGTTGACTTCCTGCTGCCTGGTGTCCCGCTCGACGCCGAAAAGAGAAGAAGCGAAGAGTTTGGAGATGATAAAGAAACCGCCGGAGAATGAGGCGTCGCCGGAGGATGAAGGGAGGAAGGAGACGGCAATGAGCGGCGGCGGCACGATGAGGAAGCAGAAGACAGAGGAGGGTGGTGGTGGCTGGGTTCCTCTTCTCACGAACCCTAGGTCTACTTCCTTGGTGCAGTGGAGAACTTCAGAAGAGCAGACATGGGCTCAGAAGCAAGAAAGGTTGTGGCAGATCACGAGCTTTTGGAAGGAGGGGGCGGCGCGAGGCGCCGCGGCAGAGGAGGCAAAGTCGGTAGCGCTCAGGGAAGCTGGCCTAGGCGGGGAGGGCGCCGCGCTGTGGGCGGCGGCGCGCGCGATTGCAGGCGGCGGCGCGGAGCAGGGCCCGCTCGTCGGGGCTGTCGGAGGAGAGTCGGGGATCGCGCGGCCGGTGGAGGGGCCCGAGGCTGAGGGCAGCACGCCGGGGATGAGGAAGACGAAGGAGGGAGTTGGCGGCGGCGATGTTTTCCCCCTTCTCGCAAGACTGAGGCGGCCAACCCTAGGGCGAGCCACCCAACAGTCAGTTCTGGTGGGTTCTGGGGCTGTTTGGGCCGCCGGGTTTGAAGATGGCTTGGGTGGGTCATCGTTTGGGCTAACAGCAGTTGAAGTGAATGGGCCGCATAATGAGAAGAATCTGGCCAAGCTAGGGTCACGTAACGGGCTGGAACTTGATAAAGTTGGGCCATTGGTAATGGGCAATATGGTGGAGAAAGATAAAATAAGCCTAACCCAAGGAGTGGACTTAAAAGACAAGGAAGATGGATCTATTGGCTTACCAACGGTGTTAACGAGTGGACTTAAAAGAGTTGAGTCTCTTTTATATTATGTGGGCTTGGAAGATAAAGAAGAGGAACTCCTCGACATAGATGGTGGGCTCAAGAAAGAACGACTCTCTGATCCTTATTTTATGGAGTTTGAAAAGGAGGGCAGTGAGTCATTTAGCTATGGTTGTAACACGAGCCATATGGATAAGGAAGAGGCAATGGAAGTCAAAATTGTGGGTGTGAGACTCGTTCGAATAGTGGAGCCCGATTGGAAGAAAAGGAAGCGCAAGACACGGAGCAGTCAATGGACTGATCACGCAAGAAAGGCGGAGAAGTGGGCCAAATCAATCAACCTTGAGGGCAAGGTTGGTCTCAAGGGGGAGGGGATGTTAGAAACACGATTTTTCGTGTTTATCATTAATATTATTATTAGGATAATTCTTATTATGGTTAGTAGTCTTCTAGTAGAATTAGGTTCTTTCTGTTCTTCCCCAATTCTGTTCCTAATCCCAATTCTCCTTCCAAAGTACATAGGAAGAAGAATAGACGAGATTTGAGAGAAAGAGAGTAGGGATTTGGGGAAGGAGGACTTTTCTATTAATTTCTGCTTAATCTGATGAATGACCCAAAGTACATATATATAGGGAAATACTAGAAAACCCTAAGAATAAACCTAATTCTACTAGAAGACTACTAACCATAATAATAATTATCCTAATAATAATATTAATGATAAACACGAAAAATCGTGTTTCTAACAGTGTTTCTCTGTGGAAACTTCCACAATGTCGCTTTGATTGCACTTTTGATTTATGGAAATCAAAATGGTTGCTATTCTACTCACACATCTTCAAATAATGTTCGAACGAGGGTGATTGATGCTTTGAAAATATATATAAATTAAATTACGAGTACTCGTATAGAGATTCCTCTAGAAAACTAGATAACTACGATTACTCCTACACCTATGGAGACCCTGTTATGGAAGGAAAGCTCCACAACTAGGAATTATAGAAAAAAAGAAGAAAAAAAAGACAAAGTTGTTTATGTTAATTTGGTTGTTGTCTACCTCCTATGTCTTTGCTCCGGATACTTATCGGAAAAACATCCACGTAGTCATTGCGGAATCGCTCCATCTTTGTCTCTCACGTTTCTTAACTCTCTTCCAGAAATTAAAGTCCTCAACCATTATGCATCTCATGCTCCCAACTTCTCTTCATGCGAAACTCACGTGCACACCAATGAACTGCGAGTCTGTAACACCAACTCAATTTCATATTTTTGTTTCTATTGTAATGTTTGCCAGTTTCAATCCCTCAATTGGCGCCAAAAGCCTCCCTCGTTGTTCATGCCATCCACTCTGTTCCTATTTTCTTTTTTCCTAATGTTTAATTCTATCTCTTTAAATATTACCTATGTATTATGTCATAATCCCCACATCACACTGAATAATTAAAAATATATTTATTTGTAATATAACAAACAATAAATGACTTGAAAGTGGATGGAAAGCAGAAACATCAAGAATAAATATAATTTATTAGCTAAACATTTTAGACTTCTAAAATCATTCTTCAGAACTCGCAGAATACATAATATTAGCCAAATCTCTTGTAACTTATCAAAATATTAGTATGCCGCCCCTTGCCTTTTAGAATACTAAACTTGTTTTCATTTCCAGAATCTAATTTCAGGATTTACCGAAATTCTTAGCTAAACAAGTTTTTTCAGGTTTTGTTTCCTAGAAAACGACAGTTTTGTTTTCATTTTAATTTGTTTTCTGTTGCGGC